TATATATATATATATATATTTGTGCATGATATGCAAGCAACCAGATCTATCAAATCAACTACAAACAGCCGTTTTCGAATAAGAACTCAAGCGAAAATCAAATCAACGCGATAGGAGGAGAGCAAAATTTATATTTCGGCAAAAAAAATGCAATGAAATTATAAAAATCGAACCAAGCACAAAATTCCTTTTCCACCTCCATGCCTTAAGCGCTCCAAGTTAAAGTGATATATATCTGTATGTATGTATCTTCCTATTTGCTAAATACGATCAACTCCATTCATTTTCTTCTCAAATTTACATATTTTTCAATGAACAACAAAAAAAAACAAGCGGAAATACGAGAATTTGCCCCAAACAAGTGGAATAGCCAGCCCTATGAATAATTGCGCCTGAAGGCGAAATAATTTCAAACCAATGAAATTATCAAAGTCCACTCATCATAATTTTATAACAGCAAACAAAGTAGTACGAGAAATGCAGAGTGACAAATGAAAGAGACTCTAGAAGAATGCGTGAAATTGGTGGTCACAAAGAAAAAGAGATTCATAATGACAGCAAGAAAGAAGAGAATTTAAAAGAAAAAACGAAATGAATGTAAGTAGTAGTTGATTAAACTGTCTCAGAGCAATTTTCTAGCCATTCAAACTATGGAATATGAGAATAACATGAGACGAAGAAATTGAAAATCAAATTTCTGGGAATTTTTTTTTCCAAATTTCAGGAAAATTCGCTTCACACATCACCTCCCCCCCTTTCCCGCAAGACCCCTAGGATGGGGGTGGGGGGGGGGGGGGGGGGGGGAGGGGGGAGGGAAGTAGAGGTGTTATGTTAATTAATTACGGGTGCATGATCGTTCATAAGATCATCTCATGTCATATGTCATATCATTGAAAATCCTCCCTAAACTATCAATAATTCTAAATAGTGCTTTTTGTGCTGCTGTAAAAAGTACTTCTTAGCATCAGTACGTCACAACCACTTCGAGAAATCGGCGATGCGGAAATTTTCATTACGCTTGCATTTGCTTGCATTCAAAACGCATGAACTCAATTTGAAGAAGAAATAAGAACAGAGAAATAATAGTGAGGAGCATTTTGTAAAATATTTAATAAAAGATAACGCTAAAATATTGATTGATTTGGAATGATATTCGGTGAAATGAAAAGAAATGCGAATTTCGCGCTTTGAGTGGAAAAATTACTGTGATGAATAAATAAATTTTTATGAAACCTGAAATCGATGAAAATTTTCAAATTTTCAAAACTTCACGCATTCCGAACTTCACGCATCCAATGCTAAGATGAAATACACTTCGAGAAGATTACCAATATCGAAGTGGATCCGATCCGCTCAGTGACATTTTGAAGACATTGTTAAGGCGGGACGGCACGAGACGTAATCAGTTTAGTGAGAGTGCTCTTAAAATGCAGTCTATTATCACTATGGTTAGTACAATTGTTATTATTATTATTACTGTTTGCAGATATTAATCGCACTTTAATCTAAATGTAAATTAGCCGTCATACGATTACACAATCCAAGAAATGCATTTTCTTTCAATATCATCTTTCAAAATATCAAATTTTAAGCGACTATCGCCAACCAACCAATCAAAAAATGCCCTCCCTATTTTGAACATTCCGTTCAATAATTAACCGAAAAAATTTGACTGCTCAACTCTATGATAGTATTCATTTTAGTCGGAACTTAGTCGAAAGCAGAAAACTAAAAAAGACCCCCCCAAAAAAAATCCAAAATTTTTCGAATCATTTTTCGAATCCTCCATTTAGAAGACGACGAAAAGACAGATGACGAAAACTGACGGACTTCTGATCTAAGCCTCAGAACAAAGTCAGCAGAAGTGTGATGATCAAAGAAATGGCAAGCTTAGGCTCTAGATGAGGCCTACAGCGGCCGGCCGACCTTCAGATGACACTACCCACCTAGCATAGTAGTTGTGCGACAGATACACAGATCAAGGCAGCAAGAGCAACGAAGCAGCCTACTAGCCTGAGCGTATGGATGAGGAGGCAAGCAAGCTGTCAGCTGTCAATCCAACCAGTCGTTCTTCATATGCAGCTGCTGTTATTCAATATGCAAATTTTAAATTGAATAAAATATTCGATGATTCGTTTGTATTTGATTCGATTTATGTGTTTGCGAAACGCGAACGCATCATCCATTGCTTGAATAGACGGCGACAGCCGGCTGGCAATAGTACGGGCCAAGCAATAGTACCAGTTTCAAATTTCACCCGTGTGAATAATCAGTCTTAATCTAAAGATTATTGAATTAGTGATCACATGTCTACAGTGACTTACCAAGGGAATCCAATCACGAGATAAGACACACAGTCACTTAATTCCTCTGATAATAGTCTTCGTATAACAACGGTTTACCGTGCCCGCAACTAGGCTCACATTTACTTTTGAAAATAGTACAGCCCTTTGCCACACTACTGCCAAAAAAGTGCATTTATATGTTTTGAGACCTCAAAAAGCCCGCTTGGCAAAGAATAAGTTACACAGAAGCTACAGAATTACACAATAAACTGCGTAATGAATAATAAATTACAAAATAAAAGATTACACAGAACGAAACTGATGTGGGATCATACCTTTAAGAACGTACAATGACACAGCAACACACTTTATGTTGTACTCTTTCGAGCAACTAGAAATCCGAAACAACCGCACCTAACAACCACAAACACCCACAATAACGTTTTAGAATGACATTGCACGCGCCATCACAACCGCAAATAAACAAAATGTAAAATGAAAAGCGTTTAATACAACAAAAGCAACTAGAAACCTAAACCAACCGCACCTAACAACCACAAACACCCACAATAACGTTCTCAATTCATAGTGCGAGAGACGCGCGCACCATCACAGCGACAAATAAATAAAGTAGTTCTAGCAATTGTTCGTTTGATCAGCGGTCATCGATCGATATTTGATTAGTGATCAAATATTGTGATCAAAATGAGTCAATTAGAACGCACTGTTTCAAATAGACAAAAGAAACAATCCCATTTTAGATAGACAAACATAGACAAACAATTTTAGATAGGCAAACATAAGTTTTGGTGTAGAATTTTCACTCACCAATTACCGCAACAATTTCTCGCAGGCAATTACGCTAAAAAATTTAGCCTTACACTTGGACCGTGAGCGATGGCCAAGCTGCACATCTTCGTGAAAACGTTCTGCGAGCTTAGAACTCGCTCAAATCATGGACCAAATATAAGCCTGGCGCTAGTTTAGCAGCCGTAATTCAGGTTGTTTCCATATGCGATTGACGATGCGTTACTAATAATTTTAACAATGAGAGCAATACTACCAATTATGACAACAACAACAACAACGAGGCATTAATGCATAATGCATAAACTAGCAATTAGCATTTAAAATGGCTTACAATTAGGCAACAGAAATAATGTGAGAATTTTAAATTTAATCACATTTCAGCTTTTGCAATTCTGCAAAAGCTGAAAGCTTTGCATCTTCACCATTAACTATACGTATTAACTATATGTATGCAGATTTTTATTCTGCGCAATAAATCTCTTGATCTAAGCCCTATTGCTTTTTTTCCGAGTCCCTAATCCTAAGCTTGAATCTCAGCCTAAGTCAGGGCTAAAACACACTCAAAAACCTGTTGCTAGTGTGTAGTGCTAAACCCATATGACCTTTACAGCTTATTAGAAGACATGTAATCAATAAGAACACAAAAAATCAGACAACACAAACCGAGATCGTAAATAAGAGAAGTGCAATAAATAAAAATACAAAAAATCTCTAAAAAGTATGGAATAGGTATCGTGAAACTCGTTTTCGCTTGAACCACTGGTTGAAATCAATTATATGGAAGGAAACTGACTGATGAAACAATGATTATAACTGGACAGCAACAGTTTACATTTCGGTTTGATTCGTTGTTTAGGCTTTCGCTTCTCGCAGCTCGTTCGCCTTCTATGAATCAATGATAGCGATGGAAAATTTCCCGAAAACAACCTCACCTCGAAATATTTTCTTCGGTCCCATTTTCTGAAAAAAAACCGCTCGGTCCTATGGAAGGTCCTTTCATTTTCCAGGAAACCTCCTCCCGTTGATTGCAGATAGTGGTGGAAAAGCTGACCTACACGACAGTATTACTGCTGCCAACGATGACTATTTCCATTCTGTTTTTGCTATGCACTACGCCAGTAGTTGTGTTGGCTTCAAAAGAGAAATGCATAGACGGACAACAAAATAAACTTATAGTTGAGAGTACGAAAGGTTTGCACAAAATTTCTCTTTCTTTCAATTTTTTTCCATTTCAATACAATTTCCTGCACGAAAAACTCATCCGCCCATGACTACTCAAGTCTACTACATAAAAGTTTCGAAAAATTTTTCAGGCAGAAAAAATGATTTCTTGAAGTTTCAATGATTTAAAGGAACCTCAACAAATATGTTGTATTTTTTTTTCATCAGTTCAGATCATTTGCCGGTGATGTTGAGCGATTTGGTTGTGCAGATTTACGACGATCAATTTAAGCCGTCCTGTCTCAACAACAGACCCAATATTGTCCTACCGGGTTATGCGCTTCTACTGAAAGGTCGGTCGATCGGTCATCTTTTACCAACTTTGCAAGTAGCACCACCAACCCTCCCCTCCACTCACTGTAGCCGTTTCGTACGGACAACTCATTACGGCTAAAATTTGAGAAGCGTTCAGACCCGCTCGGGAATGAAACAGAAATTTTAGATAATACCACAACCATAATTTTAGATCACCTGAAGAAAAATTTTGAGCAGTTCCGCTGGCTAGTTTGAAGTGATCCCAAGAGTGATGGTGATTTCGTTGAGTTGATTTCAGGTCAACTAAATATATCCAAAAAATTCGAGCTCAAGAATCACACGTTCATCAAAATGACTGTCGTTAACAGTGACGGTACATTGTACTGCAAGAATGGTGAAAGTGTGATGTGGTTCATACCAGCTGATTATTGGTGAGCAAACTGCGGGAAAAAATATTTTTAATAGCCGCCGGCTGAGTCTCGATTAATATCACCCGCATAACTCTCCCGTCGCTCACAAACAATTGTGTGTAGTGAAACTCCGACCGACTATGGCTATTCATAGGGATGCGAAAAAACCTCATTGCGCCACTAAAGGATAAAAGATTGGCACTTTTTTACTTTGGGGGGGGGGGGGGGTCGCACGCGAGCAAGCTCGCGTACAATGATAAAAACATACGCTCGCACACTACGAACGACGCTTTCACATGGACCGAAGCCACACCTATTGCGCAGTGCTTCAGCCGAAGCGTAGTCTCAGCCTAAGCCTAAGCCTGAGCTCGCTTGCTAGCCTCTGTTGTAGCATCAAGCGATCTGAGGCTACGCTTAGATGAGGCTGAGGTCACACTTAGGCTGAGGCCATGCGCAGTAGGCGTGGCATGCGCGAGCGTGCTTGCGTGCGACCTCTCCCCCCCGTCCCCTAAAGTAAAAAAGTGACAAAAGATTTTGATTTAACAAACAATAATGATGAAATTTCCATTATTCAGCAACAACAATAATGACAGAAAAAAAACGAGAAAACATCTGTGAAAACAAATGGAAACGAAGAAAAGCTCAGCGAAGCGCCCGCCACTCAATTCAGCAATAGTCACGTAATATTATGAGCTGACACAGTAAAAGTAAACCTGCGAACTGCGACTGAATAATGTTCAACTCAGAATCGCTCGCTAGATTCAAACTCAGTATTGCAGTATTGCAGCACAATTATATGTCATTTGTATAACTGAATAATTGAACAAAACATTATTCATACACTTGCTGCTGCTAGCGGAATATCGCGCTATTGCGTTTCTCTAGCTTTCCAGGTAGTTATACTGCCTGGATATTTTAGGATTTGCCTCAAGCCCCCACCCAGCAGTAACCTAATAAGCAAAAAACCTAATAAAGTGTGCCACTTTCATTCTTGTTGCCATTACACTTTCGTTAGTGAGACGACTACTGATGTTTCTTGTTTTCAGTTTAATTGACCTCTGCGAATTCATAGGCGATAAGCTATGCTCAGTATTGGGCAGGCCTGGAATGCATACCGTGAAAGAGCTTATGGAAAAAGCACATTTTAACCCAAAATTACAACTACCCGAACCACCGTGCTTTATGATGGTCTGTTTGACGGACTTCTTTGGTGTTAGTTATTATTGGTTACTTGGTTTCTTTAGCCTCTCTACGCTTGCTTCATAAATAACAGTATCGGCGTTAAACTCTCTGAACCGAACCGGAGAGCATTTTGTGGGTTGAAGAAGAGCGGCGCTATTGCTCAACACTGTTATTGTATATGAAAATGATTGGAATATGTTGTGTTTGGTGTTTCAGGGTGACTGGACGGTCTTAATTGCAGTGGAATATCGTGGCAAAGTAGTGTTTCGTTTCAAAGTGCCCTCCCGAGAGAAGTTTCTTCAAGTGGCAGCCGATCAAGATTACGATCAAGAGCAAAACAGCAAGTAATCAAGATGAATGCTCAGTTATCCGATATCATAACCAATCTTCTTCCTGATACCATGGCCACTTTTTGCAATGTTCATCTGGCTATCACAAGCGCTCAGATATTACTGATCGAAAAAGTGCTAATTGAATACATTAACTGCTGATGTTTTTAAACCTCTTTTACTGCATGACATTTGTGTATGTACGTATGTGTACATGTATGTACGTATGTATGATATACATAAAAATTGAATACAATTATATTACCTTGAAAATATCGCACTTTTATAGACCTAGGATCATGCCGAATAGTTGACGTTTCGTTTCGAGGTGTTACAACACATTTCGACAGGCAAACTTCATTTTGAAGGCGATTTATTACGATTATTACAGCATAGCAAACAATTGCGAAATACCTCTAAATTGTTCCGAATTCAATAACTTTTTAGTTGATGACAGATACAAAAAAAATTTTCATCGTAAAATCTTTCGACACGAATACTTTTTATTCACTTATATATACAAACTGCGATCACGGTTCACACAAACCATGCATTTAAGCACAGGCGGCATTTACCTGAGAGCACTCATCGAGAGAACGGGTTCAGTGGTCAATCAGGCGGGGTGCAGAGCGTGCAAAAAAAGAGGGCCCGAATTTAGAGACGATTCAACACAAGCACATTATCGTTTGGGTAATACTGACTCCTTGATTTGATGCTTTCTGGCCTGAAAATAGCGCAGTAAATCTCTTACCAAACTACCGTCATAATCTCATCGAGAAGTAATTAAAACGCAAAATTGCGAATCGTCATCAGTTTCATAGATCAATTCAACTACCTGGCGTCATTGGAGAACTGAATTTGAGGATGTCCATAGAAGACGGGCATTGGGAACTTATCTTTGAGAAGTTCATCATCATCAATGCGATTTTCGTGCAACGAACGCTCAAAACGTTTTGGATATTTCTGCGATATCAACTGCAACTTTTTGTGATAATAAAAATAGCAATAATAATGATTGTTGTTATTGTTAATGAATAAAATAATAAATAAGTAGTGTAATGAAACATGGTGGTTGCAGAAGTTGCCATTAGAGAAAAGTTACGAACTTTTTTCGATGAAAATGCCTTCTTTGAGATTTGTTGTTTGTCGAAAGCCAAGACTACAGTTGCGGCAAACACAACAGCCAACAGAAGCATTGACATTTGCATGATTCCGACGTCAAATTTCGTCACTATTGAAAGCAATTTCGCTGAAAGAACACCTGAAGATCTTAAGGAGCTACAAGAATGGTCTAAATAACGCTCAACGGAATCAACTCAGCCGAATGATTGAAGTGAACTGCAAATGTGAAATGTGATGATGAGATGGGCGGCGGAAGGACGCAATTAAGATTTGAAATTAGATCACAACACCGATGCATTTTCAGAACGACAACGGCACACCGCACTCGCCTCTGAATTTCATTTTAGGTCAGTGCCAGTCCAACCGACATTCATATGGGACAATGTCAAGTTAACTATGAACACTTTTGCTCTGATTACACAAATTCCACTACACTTAATTAAATGTCCACATTAAACAATCGACTTTATATTATCATTATTATTATTATTATTATTATTACTATTATTATTATTGAATTTATTACTGTTTTATTTACTGCACTTGTATATATTTATTATTATTATTGTATCAAAATCAATTATGTACTATCTTTATTTATGTATTCGCTTCTAATTTCATTATTTCATCAGTTTAGGCAGTAAGACAGAAAAAAATAGAACACAATCTGAACGTAAAGAGTACAACGTTAATTTCTTTAATTGTCTTTTTTTGTTAAATTCTTCGCATGAATTGCGGTTCCGAATTTCGTTTCAAGACCGCTTCAACTTTGGCACGATTCACTTCGAACTGCGATACATAATCGAGCCGCGGACTTGACATCACCGAACTGCGCATTATGGGCGAGTCTATGGGCTCATCAGCATTCAGCTGCTGATTCGCATCGCTTATAGACACAAGTCGACTCTCATCGGCTCCAGCCCCAACCGGCCCCAATCCATCGGCGCGCAGTAATTCTGTCGTTCCTGCTCCCGTCATAGATGATGGAATCTCATTATACCGTTGCAAGAGACGTCTGAAAACGATAATGAGAGCGCAAAATTCATTAACATACCTCCATATGCTTATAATGCACAAAGTGATCGGGTAGTTTTTGCCCACGATCAGATCACATGAAAGAACTCACTCTTGCTCAATTCTTCGGCAAAGTGTGTTCTCAACGCCTTGATCACGGAATTTCCGCCTTTGCCTAAAAAAAGCAATCCTGCGACGTTTCGCAAGTACTTTATACAAAATGCCCCAATTATAATTGTAACAGTAGCAATAATTTAAACAATATCAATAATGCTAACAACAACAATAATAATAATGATAACAATCAATCGTTCAAATTCTACTTACCTGGCATAGTACAGAACACTTATAGCGATCCATAATATTGATGCAATTGTATAGGAAATAAGAACAATGCGAAATAACCACAAAAAATTGTAATGAAACGATTGGCGTTGCCTCTGAAAAAAAATACAAACCGATTGATCTATCATAACATCAACACAAAGTTACTGAACTAG